CGACGTTTGGGGTCAAGTATTTCTGCTCATAACTCAGAAAAACTATTTTGGCTTCATCAAATCATAGGCCTTCATCATAGCAGTTAGCCTTCCAGTTTATTTATAGTTCAATGGTTCAAACATCGCGTTTATCATTATGTACCAAGCCTAATGTAATGGTCTACAAATGTAACAACACACACAAGTTGTTGCAGATCTTGCAAACAAGTTGTAACAAAGTTGTTGTCAAGCTGATATTAGAGAGTTTGAGCAAGACAACGAAGTACGAAGACGAAGGCGTACTTGACAATATTTGCCGCCTGTACATTATCTTGCGCATACTGAGTTGGACGTCACTGGTGTTTGGACAACGTGTCTTCCCATGTGTCGCTGTTTATGAATACTGACCATAATTCTTGCCCTGATCCAGAAAAAAAACAGCGAGACATGATTACATGAAACTATATACCGTCTTTGTCCTTCTGCCTTCGTGCAGAACGAAGTTCACAACGAATTTTGCCAAAATATTCGTTGTGAACGAACGCAGAAGACGAAGACGGGATATGGATTCATGTCTCGCTGTTTTATCCTGATCAGGGTAAGGATTTGTGTCAGCATTCACAAACAGCTAGACATGCATGTCTAATCTGCCTTCACCCCTGACCCTAAACTCAGAATGCGCAAGCTAATGTGCAAGAGAGGCAAAAATTGTCAAGCACGTCGTCGTCGTCCGACTTCGTTGTCTTGCTCAAACTCTCTATTTAAATGTGTTCGCACTGCTTGTTCCCAGTTGTTGTGACAAGTCTAGAACAAGTTGTTATCATGTTGTTACCAGGTAGATGGCGGTAACAGACTTGCTACAAGTTGTTCCAACAAGACTAATACAGGCTGTTCGTAACATGTTGCTACGAGCTTGTTGTCATCAACTTGTTAACAATTTGTTACGTGCAGACGACATCACATTTGTTGGAACAACTTGTTGTGAGTCTGTTGGCCTCATAAAGTCAACCTTGTTAGATAACAACGTGTTCCAGACTTGTCAACAACTGCGAACAAGCAGTGCGAACACATCTTGTTGACAAGCTGGGAAGCAAGGGGGGGAGGACAAATTAATTTTAGCATCTAATTTTTCATTTCCACCAGCCCCCCCTCCCCTGTGATTAATGACCGGTCCCTAACGATATTTGGGTTAGGATTGGGATAGTGATTAAGATAAGAGTTAGGACAGGTATATAATGTCAAGATATGATGGTCTGGAATCCCGGCAAACTTCAAAGTCACAAAATAGAAGAGCTTTGTTTGATGTTGAAATGTACCTCACCTTGCACAAATCCTTTGTCTCAACTTCATTAAATATTATTCATCGTGGTTGCACGTTTCATCACAACTATCTCTATTAGACTATTTAATTCGTTATACGAAAATACAACAAGTTCAATCACTGTGACTCAGGGACGCCGGAACGATGTGAAGGCAAGGGGGGGGGGGAGATTTTCGTGAAAGGGCACTTTTGAACTGATATTTTCTAAGAGATGTTTGCAAAACATCGGGAGTTGAACTTCGCCTAATCATTTTTTCTATTTATTGGATGATAGGGGTGTGAGGGGGTTCTCCGCCAGGCGATTGTGCTATTCTTGAAGCTCAATGTTTTCTGAAGCAAATTCGTAAAAGAATTACATTGACAATTCGCTACAATTCGCTAATTGCACTGACAATTTCTGACAATTCGCTATTTCGCCAAGGCAATTCTTTAAATTGAAAGGGCATCTTTGCCCCCCTTGCCCCTCCTGGTAAAGGGCAACGTGGGCGGCTGCCCTTCCTGTCCCCCCAGTTCCGGCGTCCCTGATGTGACTGTTGCACAAATTAACATAAACTC